AAACCAAACATTCCTTTCCCGGGCCGACTTCGGGATGATAGACAAGAGAAGCAATTCCGGGACCTTTACAACATGCTTTCGAAGGTTAATGTGAACTTGCCGCTTCTTGATGTTATCAAGAATATGCCGTCTTACGTGAAGTTTTTCAAGGACTTGGTGATGAAAAAGAGGAAATTCGAAGACGGGGAGAAAGTCGTGGTGTACGAGGCGGCGAGTGCGATGCACCAAGATCTACCAAAGAAGGAACGTGATCCGGGGGCTTCGTGATCAAAATAGCCCTCAGGAATTGGAAAGAAACTTCGGGGATGCTTGACCTCGGAGCCGGAATCAACCTTATGCCATTCTCAATCTTTCAGCGGCTCGGTCTCGGGGACTTGAGACCAACTCGTATGTGCCTCCAACTTGCCGACCGGTCTATTCGATATCCCAAGGGGGTGGTGGAAGACGTGCTTGTACGTGTGGGGGAGCTTATTGTTCCCGTAGACTTTGTCATTCTAGATGTGGAAGACGTGCACGAGAATGGAAAGGACCACACCATCCTTCTCGGGTGACCATTCATGGCCACCACCAACACTCTCATCGATGTGAAGAACGGGACCCTCAAGATGACGGTTTTGGGCGAGTCTGTGTCTATCTCCGTCCGGGAAGCCACATCCTCATCTTCGGTGAATTTTGTTGAGGAGTGCACATTTATTGATGTGACCGACCCTTTTATTGAAGCAGTGGCCATACGGGAGTTTGAAGAAAGGAACTTACCCGACCTCGATGATGACAACGAGCCGACCATTGACCTATGTGAAACCAACCAGCCCACCACACGTACCATTCCCACATTCGAGCTCAAAGAACAGCCCTGTCACCTCAAGTACGTGTTCCTCGATGACAAGGAGCAAAAGCCGGTGATCATTTCCACCGAACTCACTCGGGAGGAAGAGAGCAAGTTACTTGAAGTGCTTCGAAAGAACCATAAAGCCAGTGGTTGGAGCCTTGGAGACCTCAAAGGCATAAGTCCCTCCACAGTATGCACCGTATCGTCTTAGAAGAAGGTGCCAAATCCTTTCGGGATAGCCAACGGCGGCTTAACCCGAACATGATGGAGGTTGTGAAGACAGAGGTCCTCAAGCTATACTCGGAGGGGCTTATTTTTCCAGTTGCCGATAGTGAGTGGGTTAGCCCCATTCATGTGGTTCCGAAGAAAGGCGGCATCACCGTTATCGAGAACGAGAAGAAGGAGATGGTCCCTACCCGCATCACTACCGGGTGGAGGATGTGTATCGACTACCGGCGACTCAACGCCTTGACGAAGAAGGACCATTTCCCACTGCCATTTATCGATCAAATTCTCGACCGTCTCTCCGGCCACCAGTTCTATTGCTTCCTAGATGGACTTTCCGGTTACTACCAGGTAGCCATAGCACCCGAGGACCAACCTAAGACCATCTTCACATGTCCATTCGGCACATTTGCTTTCAGGCGGATGCCCTTTGGCTTATGCAATGCACCAGGAACTTTTTAGAGGTGCATGTTCTCCATCTTTTCTGATATGCTCGAGGATTGCTTTCAGGTATTTATGGATGACTTTTCTATCTTTGGTGATTCATTTTCTCACTGTCTCCATAACTTATCTCGTGTCCTTGAACGTTGCATTGAATCGAATTTAACTTTGAGCTCGGAAAATAGTCACTTTATGGTTAAGAGTGGAATTGTACTAGGCCATTTGGTGTCTAGTAGGGGGATTGAAGTTGATAAAGCAAAAGTTGATGTTATTGAAAAACTTCCCCCTCCGGTGAATGTGAAAGGCGTCAGGAGTTTTTTGGGGCATGCTGGTTTCTATAGGAGATTTATAAAAGATTTTTAAAAAATTAGCCAGCCGTTGTGTCACTTGCTTAGTCAAGATGTGCCTTTCAATTTTGATAATGCTTGTTTGAGTGCTTTCAATGACTTGAAAAATAAGCTTGTGACTGCTCCTCCTGTGATTGCTCCTGACTGGTCTTTGCCTTTTGAGATTATGTGCGATGCATCAAATCCTGCTGTGGGAGCCGTTTTGGGTCAACGAGTCGATAAATTACTTTAAGTGATTTATTATGCTAGTCTGACCCTTAATGGAGCCCAACTAAGTTATACGACCACCGAAAAAGAACTTTTAGCTGTGGTTTTCTCTGTTGAAAAATTTAGATCCTACATTCTAGGTTCTAAAGTGATAATACATTCAGACCATGCAGCCTTAAAGTATCTTTTGAATAAAACTCAATCAAAGCCGAGGCTTATTCGGTGGATTTTATTTTTGCAAGAGTTTGATGTTGATATTCAGGATATAAAAGGGTCCGAAAATGTTGTAGCTGTTCACTTGTCCCGCATTATACCGACTGATCATTCTCATTCCTTGCTTGAGCATAATGTTATTAATGATGATTTTCCATACGAGCATGCGAATGAAGTGAATTCTAACCCTTGGTATGCGGATATTGTGAATTATTTGTCTTGTGGTATTGTGCAGCCTAACCTCTCTCCCCAAGAGAGGAAACGTTTTGTTCTAAATTGCAGGAGCTACTTCTGGGACGAGCCCTTTCTGTTTAAGATCGGAAAAGATGTATTACTTAGGAGATGTGTGCCCGATGATGAGCAATTGGGAGTTCTGACCTTCTGCCATGAGCTTCAGTGTGGGGGACATTTTAGTGGTCGAAAGACCGCTTTCAATGTTCTCCAGTCAGGTCTATTCTGGCCGACTTTGTTTAAAGATGCTCACGTTCAAATCTTTTGACCGATGCCAACGAATTGGGAACATTGGTTCCAAAAATGAGATGCCCCTTGTGAACAACCTTCAGGTTGAAATCTTTGATGTGGGGGGCATTGATTTTATGGGACCATTTCCCAAATCTTGTGGTTTTTAATATATATTACTTGCTGTAGATTACGTATCCAAATGGGTTGAGGCGATCCCCACAAGGACATGTGATGCTAATGTGGTCATCAAGTTTTTGTGAGGACATATTCTAAGCAGGTTCGGATTTCCTCGGGCTATTGTGAGTGATGGTGGGAGGCATTTTTGCAATCGTATTTTCGAGAAGCTGATAAGCAGTATGGCATTTCACACAAGGTGGCTACCCCATACCATCCACAGACGTCAGGCCAGGCCGAGACGAGCAACCGACAAATCAAGACTATTTTGGAGAAAATAGTGAACTCGTCCTGGAAGGATTGGTCGAGTCGACTTGACGATGCGTTATGGGCCCAACGGACAGCGTACAAAGGAGTTTTGGGGATGAGCCCGTTCCGGCTCGTCTACGGAAAAGCGTGCCACCTCCCGGTTGAGATCGAGCACAAAGCGTTTTGGGCAATAAAGAAGATGGACTTTGATCTTGATACCGCCGGAAGAGAGTGAATTTTGCAGCTCTCGGAACTCGAAGAATTGAGGAACGAGGCGTATGAGAATTCGAAGATTTACAAGGACAAGGTCAAACGACTCCACGACGCTCAAATTTTCTGGAAGGAGCTGGTACCGGGCATGCAAGTGCTCCTTTCCTGACTTCGTCTATTTTCGGGAAAACTTAAGTCCCGGTGGAGTGGCCCGTTTCTTGTTGATGAAGTGTTGTCTTTCGGGACCGTCCGACTTCGGAACCCGTCTACCGGTGAATTATTTGTCGTGAACGGACAAAGGATCAAGTCGTATTTTGGAGGAGAAATCGTTACGAAGCACGTCGAGACCTTCAATCTCGGCGACCCACAGTATACTTGATCGCGCGAGTGCTGAGCTCACGACAATAAAGTCGAGCACCTTTGTATATATTTTATATTTATATCCATTAAAAAAAATTGAAAAATGTTCGTTCGTCGCGGGCCGTGAGGATGGTCGCGAGCCGCGAGAGTCGTCGCGCGTCGCGAAGCAGGTCGCGAGGGTCCATCGGTTTTTCTACCCTTTGAAGTCGCGGCCGTGGAGGTTTTGTTCGCCGCGGGCCGCGAGATTGGTCGCGTGCCGCGACTTCGCAAAATTTTTTGGACTTTTAAGTCGCGGCCGCGAGTTCCTCCGCGGGACGCGAACCTCCCGATTAAAGCAACAATTGAGGAAGGAACACTGTCATTTTTTCTGACCTTCTTTCTCCTCTCAACCACTGGTGATTTTCGTTCCTCCCAACCGACCTCACACATCCAAATTCACTTCAACTCCTTGCCAAATTTCGAAGAATCCATCATCCACGCCTCCTCACCGGACCTATACGCGCCTTTCCACCACAATTGGGGCTCAAACTCGGGAAACCCTCGGTCATCTCCTCCGACAAGAGCACTTACCGTCGTCAAATTATCTGGCCATCTTCTTTGCCGTGATCTCATACACCGAGCAGCAACACCGACCACATCCTACCACCTTATCTCATACGAGTTCCGAGTCCATTACTCCGCAAAACCTAGTCGACGACCCTCTTACGGTAACCGCCCTTCTAGTTATCACTTCGGAAAAATTACATGGTATAGTTGTTACTTGCTACATTGCTGCGATTGGGTTGAGAAATTTTGGGTGCCACCATTGTTGTTTACCTCTAAGCTCTATCATCAAAATTACCGCCCCCAAGGTGTTTGATAAATTGCCCAAACGATTGTGCCATGGGTAAAAAGTCGCGACATCATTCGAATGCTGATCAAGCCAGAGCCTCCAATCCCGGGAAACAAAAATTGGCCCAATCCTTGGGCCAAGGGAACCGCGATGCCCCTCAAGGAAGTGACCGGGTAGACCTTCGCAACAATACGGTGCCTCCTTCCCAATTTACTCGAGGAAAGAGGGCGAAATATTTTCCCGTCTTTCACAAAAAGAGTTAGTAAGGCCGAAGGCAATTGATTGGGACTTGTTGAGGAGCTTGGGAATCATTGTCAACGTTAAGAAGTACCTAGGGGTGCTTAATCTCCTCAACTACGCCCAGATCGAGGAAAAGTCGTATCAGAGCCTTATGCTTGAGTTTTTTAGCTTGTTTGTGCTCGCCGATGGTAACGAGTACTTCACTTGCCGGATGCGGGGGAAAGATGTGAAAGTGGATAACAACGTGATGAAGAAAGTCTTTGGGTTCAATCTAGTTGGCAAACGAAGCAAACCGGCGGACTTCAACGCCAAGAATAGTTGGACAGAACTTTCTCCACTTACTACGTGGGACTCCCGTGGCCCTCCGAACGGGCTCATTAAAGACTTAGCCACAGCTGTTGTGCACAGGTTCATCGCATATAATATCACAGGGAAAAAGGAGGCAAATAAGGTGAGTGAAACCGAGCTCTACCTTTTATGGGCGATGCGTGCGGGAGTAAAGATGTGCTCGATGACCTTTTTGCAAAACTCCTTGCAAGAGGTGGCACTCGGTAAACGTGGCATTCCGGCTCTCGGGCATGTTGTGACGGCATTGGCCATACACTTTGGAATCCCTGATCAACCTGTCTTTATCGACGCGACATGGTCATTGGAAGGCGAGCCAATGCGGTGTATTAATGAACATGAGCTCCGGAACGCCGACCTCATTCAAAATCGAACCACCCCACGGGAGTACACAAAGCGCAAGCCCTACGACACTTATTTCAAGAAGCTCAATGAAGGTGAGGCACCTACCACTTATGAGGCCGGGACATCCCGGCAACCGGTTGACGATAACGAGCACGACCCAATGAATACGGATGAAGACCATTTTTTCCTACCACCACTTGATCCGGAACCAACTGAGCACCATCAAACTGAGTTCCCACCACAACAACCGCCGGAATGGTGTGTGACTTACCAAAACCAATGGACCTCATTCCAAACCCAATACACCGCAGAGATCCGAGCCATTCATACCCGCTTTGATGCCCAAGACAATAGGTGGGCTAACCTCGAGAGCCGACAGACCACTCAGTGGGCCAACTAGGAGACACAACAGACATCCCAGTGGACTCATTGGGAGACACAGCAGACGAACCAGTGGAATACCTGGGAGAGCCAGTAGCAGACCCAGTGGACTGACATGGGTTCCCGTTTCGACGGCTTCACTGACGGTCTCCAGTCCATTCGCGAACGCCAGGATCGACAAGACGCTCGCATGGACCGTTGGGACCAGCGATTCACCCAGTGGGACACCTATTGGGGTTCGGGATCGAGCAACCCCTACCCTCCACAACCGCCACCATTGGATGCACAGTGATTTCTCACTGTGCCTTGTATGTTCTTCTTTCCATTCTCTTTACTTTTGTACAGTTTGTTTTATTTTTGAGTCGATTGATTGCGTGGTTTAACCTTTTTGCACTGTGGATAGACAATGGGGACATTGTCTAATTCTAAGTGTGGGGGAGGGGGGGGTTGCGTGTTTACGTGGCTATGAGGTTAATCAGGTTTAGTTTTTAGAATTGTTCTTGTTTATTTTCTTTTTAGGATTATGTGTTGTGTCTTTTTGAGTTTAGATTGTGGTGAATTGTGGGAGTAGTCAATAACGGTTAATTGTGTAATATCCCGCTCTTTTGTTAATAAAAGTAATATTCTTAGTTCCGAGTTTGAAATACTTTTACTTTTATTAATATTGCTCGTTTTAAACTTCCGAGCCAAGCTAGTAAGTCATTCAGTTATAAGTTCAACTTTAAGTCGGGAATCGATTCGGTTTTAAGTTTATTCAGTAACCGAGTAAATTCCGGTGATTAATTCCAAACCGTTTATTTTTATAAATGGAGATTAATAGTCGGGATTAATTANGGAGATTGAATAATGAGGATATCATATTGGGTTTAAAGATATGGGAGGAAACAATTGATATTTGACAACTGGAAAAGTTTATGCTCATGGTTAGGTGAATGAATGGAGCAAATTCGATTGTTATTTAGCTACTTAGCCTATATTTATTCTACCCGATCCAAAGAGCCTACGTTACATCCCTAAAAAGTCCTCTTGATTCACTATTGCATGAATATGATTGTTTTAAAGTAAAAGTTAGACGATAAGCAAATTTATGATTGATTCGATTAAAGACCAATTTGAGCGTATCCCGTTTATATTTGTGAAAAGAAATTGAGTGAGGCATATATGATATAATTGTGCATTTGAGAGTCCATGTTTTTCAAAATAACCAAGTTATTAGTCGAGGTATGTTCTTGTGATTATTTGAATTCTTCTTGACTTGATTGATTAGTTTGAGATTAGTTTCGCTTGAAATCATTGTCTTTACTCATTTATGTGTTTTCTCTTCTTTTCTTTTTGTTCGGGACGAACAAAGGTTTTAGTGTGGGGGAGTTGTTTGTCCCATTTTTGTTATGATTTTCGTGTTTATTTTACTTTTCTTTTTCTCCATTTTAGGTAGTTTCTTTCATTTTTAGTTCGTTTAGTGTTTGAGTATGTGTTTTCTTCTCATTTGAGTCTTTGTGAGTTATTCGTGTATTTTTTCCCGTTTTATGTTTCGTGTTTTGTTGTGTATGATGGTAGGTTGGAAGTTCGGATGAGTATTCTTTTCAAGGAAAAATTGGTTTGGAAGCATAAATAAATAGAGGAGCTCATAGACAACACGTAGCAAAAAACGGAAGTCAATTCCGAGTCCGGATAAGCGCATACGAGCCCGAACAATGAAACGAAAAATTCCTTCGTCGATGGCCATGAGGGAAGTCGGGGGCAGCGAGTGAGGTCGCGGGGAGCGAGGGATGTCGCGGGGCGTGAAGGAACGCAAAAGATTTTTCTGCTCGCTGATGTCACGGCCGCGGGGCAAGTCGCGGCCGCGAAGTTGCCTTCGTCGCGGGCCGCGAAGCTAGTCGCAGCCGCGAGATCATCTTCGTCGCAGGCCGCGAGTTCCTCCGCGGGCCGCGAGACCTGGATTTTGCTGGTTTTATGGCTTTTTCCCCTCTTTTTCTCCTTAGTGGATGATAGTGGCGATTTTTGGGCATGTTTTGGGGAATTTACATCTGAAATTTGGGGCTAAACACTATAAGAACACCCTCCATTTCCATCTATGATGATCCAACACTTTGATTCATAATTCTTCTTCAAGATTTTCCTTCATTTTTCCTAAGTTTTTCTTAAGTTTGTATTTTGGTTTGTATTGAAGACATTGTTGTACTTGGATTTAAGTTTGCATTTGCTCTTGTGGAATTCTCATTATAAGTAAGTTATCTATTTCATTTTATCTATGTTAAAGAGGGTTTGTTCTAATGTGAATGATTATGTTAAACTTATTATGAACAACTAATCTTCTAACTAGGGTTAGGGGATAATCGTTTCAGTTTGTTCTTACTTATGTGTATGTCAATTACTCAATCTTTACGAGTTTTACTTATTTCACGATTGAATGATTGATCACCATTTTAATCTAAATAATCGATTTCAAAACTGAGAGGGTGAAATTGGTAGAACTTGGCTCGTTTAGAGTAGACATGTTCGGAAACGTATTGTCTATGTGTTAATTGTCTCGTTAATTTACTCATTGATGTTTTTCCGTATATTACAAGAGTTAGTAAGGTAAAATCGCTAAATGAGTTAGTTAATCGAGCCTTTTAACCGAATAATTGATTGCCGTCAAATTTATGTAAAACTGAAGACGATTGTCCCCGATACCCTAGTCATTTACATCCCTTGGAATTACCTTCATCATTTTTGCTAGTTTATATCTCTTTGAATCATTTTATAAGTTGTGATATTAAATTGTTCTAGTTAAAAAATCATTAGTAAAAACCAAAACCAACAACTTGAATTAGAGTGTGTAGGATTGTTTTTGTTTTAGTTTTTGTGAACGAATTAACGTACCAAATAGTCCGGCTAACCTTCCTTGAGAACACGACCCGGTGTTCGAATCTTTTGATTCTACTCCGGTAAAATACACTACAACTCAAAAAATCAAGCTTTCAGTATATACACTAACACGACCCACATGCACGAAATCGGTGATCGAACGGTCTAAATCGGTCAAAATGATTAAAGGTCATGAACAATCTATTTCACCTATAAAAGGCAAATTTCCCGACTATTTAGTTTTCATAAGATCCACCTGCACATTTCTTGTTTTTCCTCAACTTTGTTCCGTTCGATTCTGAAGAACGATTCACAAATTAACCTTGTGTATAAATTGTTTCTTTTCAATCGACGATACATATTTCCATAAATCACGTAAAAACGTCGATCTTATGTTTTTTGTTCGAATTTCACTTGTTTCCTTAAATACCAAACAAATTATTGGATTTGTATTGTGTCTTTTATTTGGATTTCAAAAAATAATACAAATGGAAGTTTATCTCATAAATTTGAAATGCACACGTACAATTGAAATTTGTTCTAATTTTGACAACAATTTTTATTTATTCAAATTCGTGTACAATTGAGATTCTGATTTTAAAGATTAATCATGTTTTATTGTTGATTTGATTTTAAGTATATAAAATGTTTATATTATCATTCTGTTAAAAAATTGATTCACAATGCATGTCTCCTATTCAACAAAATATGCTATTTATCTTAAATACATATTAATAATGGTTTACCGTAAATAATATTTTTTTAATCATGATTAATATATTTTGACAAATGCATGCATAGATTTACCAAATTATGTTACTAAATGCACCGGTAGAATTACCAAATGCAAGCCAGCGTCGTGTAAGATAAAAAATAGTATTGTATGATTCATTTGCGAATAAAAAAATTATTTCTTTAGTTAGAACAAGTTCGCAAACTATTCGAACTTTCATTTGCGAATAAAAAAGTATTTTATAATTATATATATATATATATAGGGGATGGATCCAATGAGACCACTCCTTAAAATGAGTACGTGAGACTCAATCTTAGCCACTCATTTTGTCTAGATCAAAATCAATTAAAATATACATTAATTAAATAATAAAATAATTATTAGTTGACTCCGGCGTTGACCGTTGACTTCCGACGTTGACTTCCGGCGAGAATCGTTGACTTCCGACGTTGCCGTTGACTTCCGGCGTTGACCGTTGACTTCCGGCGTTGACTCGTTGTATTGAAATAAATAACCTAGCAACAAAAGACACTCAACCTTGAGTGGTGTAGTGGTTGCATTGCTTGTCTTACCTTCATGAGGTACCAGGTTCAAATCCTATGGGTTATAATTTTTTTATAAAAAAAAAATACAACTAACTTAGCAACATCAGACAACTAACCTAGCAACAAAACACAACTAACTTAGCAGCATCAGACAACTAACCTAGCAACAAAACACAACTAACCTAGCAGCAAGAAAGAACAACTAAACTAGCAACAAACACAACTAACCTAGCACCATCAGACAACTAACCTAGCAGCAAGAAGGAAATAACCTAGCAACAAAAGACAACTAACCAACAAACACAACTAACCTAGCAAGAAAGAACAACTAAAGTAGCAACAAATGCAACTAACCTAGCACCATCAGACAACTAACCTAGCAGTAAGAAAGAAATAACCTAGCAACTTAAGACAACTAACCTAGCAGCATCAAACAACTAAACTAACAGCAAGAAAGAAATAACCTAGCAACAAAAGACAACTAACCTAGCAGCAAGAAAGAAATAACCTAGCAACAAAAGACAATTAACCTAGCAGCATCAGACAACTAACCTAGCAGCAAGAAAGAACTAACCTAGCAACAAAAGACAACTAACCTAGCAACAAAACTCAACTAACCTAGCAACTACAAATAACTAACCTAGCAACAACAAACAACTAACTTAGCAACAAGACACAACTAACCTAGCAAGAAAGAAATAACATAACAAAAGACAAATGGTCAACGGTCAACGTCGGAAGTCAACGCTGGAGTCAACGGTCAACGCCGGAAGTCAACGATTTTCGCCGGAAGTCAATGCCGGAAGTCAACGGTCAACGCCGGAGTCAACGGTCATAATAATATTTAAATAATTAAAAATAAAGAATTAAATAATAAAAATAAAGAATTATTATTTAAATCAAGATCTAAATCTTGTGGCTAGGAATGAGTCTCACGTCCTCACTTTAAATAATGGGATGCATTGGAACCAATCCCTATATATATATATATATATATATATATATATATATATATATATATATAATATCATTTATAATATAATATATAAATAAAAAATGCTCCTGCCCCGTTCATTTTCCACTCTTCAGCCTACTCTCTGACGTGTTAGTCCATGTCAGCAGTGCAACACAATTGTGCATTAACTTCTATTTTACGTTAAATTTCTCTTTTCTTTATTTTGTTCTTCCCCAAAATTTATTGCAGTTAAAATTTATCTCTACTTTCTTTTGTTTTTCCCAAATATTTCTTGCCGTTAAATTTTCGTCTGTCATTTTTTGTTCTTCTCCGTTCATAGTCATCTTTCTTCGCCGCTTTTTTTGTCGATTTTTTTTGTCGACATTTTTCATTTAAAAAATGTTTTTTTCCCTTGGCCGAATAATAAGGAAAATTTGATGACTTATATTGACTAGTCAAAAGACACATCATGGAGTTACATAATATGGTGGAAACTGATGGGGGCCTGTAGCGGTATTTATATATCTATATAAATATAGATATATATTATATATTAAATAACTTGCTTGTGTTGTATTAAAAAAAAATCATCAAACACGAATATGAACTTGTCAAACAATTCAAACCGTTCACGAATAAATTTGACTATACAAATGAAAGAACACGAACTTATCAAACTAATAAATGAATGAACACGAATATGGCATTTGTAGCATTCATTTAATGTACCTCCTTTTGGTCGCATCCGATTTGTGTAGACATGGCCAGGTGCCGGGTCGGCGGGCCTCAATTGTTGGACCCGTAACCGGCCCGACAATTCCTATGGGCCGGTTCATTTGAACCGGCCCGGCCCGGCGGTTCGTTGAACCGCCGGGTTAAAAAAAAAAATATTGAAAGAGTTATATTTTTGGCAATGAAGTTCAAAAATTAATATAAGTGAAGATATATTCTTGCAAGCATGAGAAATAAAAAGGGAAGTTCTTTTATTTATATTTATATTTATATATTTGAATATATTTATATTTATATTTATATATTCGATTTATATACATATATATTAGATTTGCATGATCTTATTATGGATATATTTTGTAGGAAATCATATAAGAAGGAAAGATCTTTGGAAAGAGAAGATAGAGATCTACACCTACCATATCTCTTTGGATAAACTTGGAAGGAAATCAAAAACAAAAGGAGTCCTATACTTGGAGAAGACTCCAACCCTAAGGAGGCTGTATATATACCCACTTAAAGCTCGAATTTGGAGAGCTGAGAGCATTATATTCTATTCCATATTCGAGCTGCAAGTTTTTTGTGTTTTATTTTCGTTGGTCAGTTTTCGGTGTTCTTATGTCATCGAAGAACTGAAGTCTGTTTTGTTTTCTTTTCTTTGTTTTTCATTCAAACACTTGTGTGATCAGTGCTTAGGGATTAAGTACTGTCTTTAGCTCGAGGGATTCGAGAGGTAAAATCCACGGGACGTGGTCGGAGAAGTAGTTGATAGAATCGTGTGTAGTTGTGGCTAGGCTAGAAGGGAGTTCGAGTCGTGTAAGTCCAAACTATACAAGTGTGCACAAACGGTTTATCAATGAAAGAGCTCTGAGGGGAAGTGGGACGCTTCCCTGAAGAGTTTTTAAATCTTCGGTTTATTGCTTCCGCTATTCTAGTTGTTTATTTGTGTTCTAACAACGTTGAGCGCACTCGTTACAAAATACCTACGTTTCAATTGGCACCAGAGCAGTGTTCCTGTTCTACTTACAGGATAAAGATCTTTGGGTCCTTGGGTTGGTCACCATGATTCACGACGGCATGTCCGTTTCACGCCCTCCGTACCTTGACGGTTCTAACTATGGATACTGGAAATCCATGATGGTGATATTTATTCGCTCTTTGGGTAAAGGTACCTGGCAAGTCATTGAGTCAGGCTAGACCACACCACACATGCTGAAAGCTCCCTCGGAATCAAAGTCATCAACCTCGGCTGCTCATGTTCTAGTCGAGAAACCAAGGGATCTTTGGACTGATGTTGAAAGACAAGCAGAAGAAGCAAACTTTCGTGCATTATATGCTATCATGGCTGCTGTGGATCCAACTCGCCATAAGATGATTATTCAGTGCACCACAGCTCGTGACGCATGGAAGATTCTTGAGAGGCAATTTGAGGGTACCAACGCCGTGAAGTCTTCCAAGCTCCAAATGATTACCACGGAGTTCGACACTATTTGCATGAAGGATGATGAAAATATTGATAGGTACTATGCACGCTTTTGTGATCTCGTTAACCAAAGTGCCATGCTTGGTGAGGAAATTTCTGAGGCGAGGCAAGTGCAAAAGATCATGAGGACCCTTGCCAAACGATTCCGTGAAAAGGTCACCGCACTTGAGAGCTTTCAGCGAGTCGAGCCTCTTGGTCTCGATGACTTACTTGGAGAACTTCGAACCTTTGAAATCAATCGTGGTTATGATAAGATGGGAATAAGCAAAGGCTTAGCCCTGAAAGCCAATGTTCCAACACAGGCTGAAGACGAAGAGGAGTCTGATGATGAGTCTTTTGATGCTGAAAGTATTGCTAAGTCTTTGGATGTTCTTACACGCCACTTCTCTCAGTTAAAGGAGTCCCAAGGGAAGAAGCCTACTGACTTCAGTAAGAACATCAATCAGCAGTCTGGTGAACGACGTTCCAACTCACATTCTCAGAAGACTCAGAATCAAGATGTAGAGAAGAACCAATGCCGTGAATGCAAGGGATTTGGACACTTCCAGAAAGACTGTCCAAATTTCACGAGGAAGAACAAAACCTATCGAGCCACGTGGGATGATGATGAAGACGATGATGACCAGCAACACACGAACAAACTTGCCGTCACTTCTCTCAATAACTTCACGTGTTATACAGCCTCTCATAAGCCTTGTGATGCCGATTCAGGTATGTGTTCTTACACGTATAATTCTCATAGTGATTCTGATGATTCTGGAGATGGTTCTGTTGAAGTAGATTTGGCTACCCATAAGCTTGCATTAGAGACGAGCATCAAAGCTGGAAAAATGGTGAAAAAGCTACAAGCTCAAGTCGAGGTGTTCCAACATCGTTCTGCAGAGCATGAGAAGGAGATCATCTACTTGAAGGATGAACTTCAAAAAACTAGCATGATGAATGGCGAACTGAATGATAAGCTGACCAGATCTGATGTTCATACCAGCAAGGAGGAACATAAGCTGGACGAATTTGTTGCCAAAATCACAATGTTAGAACATGAACAGAAGTTGTCCAAGCAGGTATGTGATGAAAAGGTTTTTATCATTGAGTCTCTACGTAATGAAATGTTTGTCTTGCAGAAAACTATAGATGAAAGGAAAACCGAGATTGTTGCACTCAAAAGAGAACTCGGTCGAGTGATGGAAGAACATGTAACGCTCAAGAGTTATTGTTCTGCAATGGAAGAGAAACTCAGCAAGAGTGAGGAGATTGTCAAGATGATCAACAAGCCCAAGTCCTGATTTGCTGAAGTTCAGAGGCTGAGTCAACAAATTGATACCTCAGACCAGAGTAAGAACGCTCATAATCAGAAACTGAAAGGTAAAGTTGGCGAGCCGAGCACATCTCTGAGTAAGTCTGACCTGACTTTTGCCAAAGAAGGCTATAGCCTTGAAGGTAAGAATGGTAAGCCTAATTCTACCAAAACTCAGCATAAGAACTCTGTTAAGAACTTTGTGCCTGTTTGTCACTATTGTGGTATCCGTGGTCATATTCGCCCTAAGTGTTATAGGATGCATAATGATATTTATACTGGTCGAATTGATGAATGGAGTCCACATGGTGTACCCTTGAAAGCACCTAAACTAAAGGTTGATGTGGTTAATCATGAACAGAAAAAGATTTGGGTTCCTAAAGGCAGTAAGAACGTGTGCTTATCTTCTATACTTGCATTGAAATCCACCTCTAATTTTGATTGGTATTTTGACAGTGGTTGTTCTCGTCATATGACAGGTCTAACATCTAACTTGATTAATATTTTGCCTGTTCCTTCTAGTTCTGTGACCTTTGGTGATGGTGTTATGAATAGAGTTCTCGGTATAGGATGTTTGAATGTTCCTGGATTGCCCAAACTTCAAAATGTTCTTCTTGTTGAAAATTTGAAAGCGAATTTGTTGAGTGTGAGTCAATTATGTGATCAAGACTTTTCTGTGAGTTTCACCTTGAATGAATGTTTGGTTTCAGATAGGAATAATAATTGTGTTCTTACAGGGTCTAGATCGCATGATAATTGTTATTTGATTGATTATACGACCTTTGACTCATGCGATATGAGTTCGGGTATTATTAGAGATTGTGATGCTGATAGGGATGAGAATGTTGCTGATCAATGAAGTACGTCTGACGGATGTTCGTACACCGATCAGAATCTTGTGGCTGAAACTTGTTGTTCAGAAAAGGTGTGGATGAAGCACATTTTTCTTAAATTTGGAACTGAGGTACAAGCCATTGACCTTTTCTTTGACCTTACTTATGCGGCTAATGTTTCCAAATATTCTGTTCAACATTCTCTTAATCGTACTATCATGCTATGCCACTTTACTAGAAATTTGGGTGATGATGGATTAATTGTTCGTAAATATGTTCCAGCACATAACCTTGATGCTCAAAGATTTATCACTCTAAGGAAATCTTTAGGGATATGCATTCTCTGATTGCTTGCATGCCATTATATTATATTGTATTGTATATTAGTATATATATTATATTTGCATTGCGTGTATGCATATAGGGTATTATTTGCATTAGGCATGCCTTGCATTTTTGCATATATTTCACCAATAAGTCATAAATGAAGTTCTCACTCTTCTGAAAGCGGGTGAGATGTTGATTGTCTTTAATTGATGGCGTGTTCTTGCATACCTTGGAACAAATATATTTCTGTCAAAAAGAGCTGCCTTCACACAATGATCTAGAGCGATAGCTAGCACATGGTTCGTTTCCTTTTGGATCGACTGTGAAAAGAGCGTCATGGACAGAAAATGTTGTGAAGGGTGGTAGCTATTGACAACCACTGCACTTGACTGTGTGGTGTTTTTACTTGGAGTTATAAGGTGGTCATCTTCACAAAAAACGTAGTGCATAATAATAATAATAAAAAAAAAGAGTTCTTACACCGAGCATTGGGGCAAAGTAGTGGGGTTGACTTTCACTATTGCAGTGATTGTTACTAAGTGAAAAGCCTCGATGTAAATTAATGTTGTTGCTTAAAATCATTGGGCAAAGTAATGGGGTTGACTTTCACTATTGCAGTGATTGTTACTAAGTGAAAAGCCTAGTGAATAATAAAGCTTATGTTGCTTCGGTGTTAGAAACCTGGAGAGATATGACTTGCATTACATATATATATGTATATATTATTCCGCCTCTGTGTTGTTCCTTGGTGTGTTTGTAGCACAATGTTGATTTTGGATTACTTATGCATCAATCCTGCCTAAGTAGATTAAGAAAGGATTTTATTGATTTTAGTGTCTTGCATGCGGTTTTATTTTTATTTTTTCATCCTTAGGCATAATGCATGTGATTTCCTTTTTGAGTAAATTACTTGGACGTTAAAAAATGTGAGGGACTTTATTTTTGGATGATAAAATCTTATTCTTCCTAATTTTGAATTAGTTGGACACGTGTGTTAGTATGTTAATGGGTTTGTGTGTTCAGTTTTGATGGGGATGTTCTTGCTGCATGGTATTCAACCGTTCCCTTGATATTTTCTTTCAAACCTCACCCATCACGTCCTCACTATATATCTTCATTTTCAGAACCTGAGAACCCCATTTTTATTTTTCTCTCTTTGAATTTTTCTTTTAACCATTTGTGTTCCTGCATCATTTTCTAATGTGCTTCTGAAACACTTTGGCTGATGGCAAAAGACTAGAGAAGAGATGGACAGTCTTCAACGATTAGAGATCAGTTCAAGCAACGACTTTCGTCTTCGGTTATATTTTTCTTTCTCTCTCTCATTCGATGTTCTTACTCAGGGGGAGATTTGCCTTTGGCATTTCAGTCTAAAAAGGGGGAGAAATTGGTTAGGCAATGATGATAACATCTCATCTCCTTTGTCACGGTTGTCGCTGCCCCCACAGTCATTTTGTGCTAGAACCGATAGGCTTTGGGTATGATCGGAGGAAAGGAAGAAGGAACAATGAAAACTTGGATGTTTCTGAAGATGTTGGGGATAATGTTCTAGTTGTTTGCTTCTGATTATATTGGGTGCTGTTTTTGACATGTTTCTGCAAGATGTAAGAACGTCTATGTCTTGCTGCTTGATTGTTTTGACTATTCTGACAGGGGGAGATAAATTAGGTTCTAATAGGTTGATGTGTTTTGATTGCTCTGATTATAGTCCTCTTAGTTGCCTTGATAGGAATTACCATCGTTGTTTCTTCACATGGAGGACGGTGGAAAAAGAACACGGGTACAGGCCCTTCGGCATCCTGTAGTTCGAAAAAGGGGGAGATAGAGGCAAAGATGGTCAAGGATGATGCTGAGAAGTCAGGGGGAGATTCAATAGCTGAGAAGTCAGGGGGAGATTCAATAGCTGAGATTGGTTTTTTGTTAGAACCTCTTATGACTTTTCTTTTGTGTGGCTGCTGTTAGTACTAGTTGTGATTGGTAGGATGTTTGCTCTGATTGTTTTATGCTATGTGCGTCTAATGAGTTGTGACTGCAGGTACTTTATGGACTGTGTTCTTACTGCAGTGATTTGTTCCTTATGATATTATTCTGCATATTCGTGCTTGCTGTTCTAACTGTGTTTCAGGTTATCTTCATTATATGATTTTCGAACTAGATGCCAAAGGGGGAGATTGAAAGAGTTATATTTTTGGCAATGAAGTTCAAAAATTAATATAAGTGAAGATATATTCTTGCAAGCATGAGAAATAAAAAGGGAAGTTCTTTTATTTATATTTATATTTATATATTCGAATATATTTATATTTATATTTATATATTCGATTTATATACATATATATTAGATTTACATGATCTTATTATGGATATATTTTGTAGGAAATCATATAAGAAGGAAAGATCTTTGGAAAGAGAAGATAGAGATCTACACCTACCATATCTCTTATGATTTACATGGAAGGAAATTGGATAAACTTGGAAGGAAATAAAAAAGGAGTCCTATACTTGGAGAACACTCCACATCCTAGGGATTGTATATATACCTGCTTGAAGAACGAATTTTGGAGAGCTGAGAGCATTATATTCTATTCCATATTCGAGCTGCAAGTTTTTTGTGTTTTATTTTCGTTGGTCAGTTTTCGGTGTTCTTACGTCATCGAAGAACTGAAGTCTGTTTTGTTTTCTTTTCTTTGTTTTTCATTCAAACACTTGTGTGATCAGTGCTTAGGGATTAAGTACTGTCTTTAGCTCGAGGGATTCGAGAGGTAAAATCTACGGGACGTGGTCGGAGAAGTAGTTGATAGAATCGTGTGTATTTGTGGCTAGGCTAGAAGGGAGTTCGAGTCGTGTAAGTCCAAACTATACAAGTGTGCACAAACGGTTTATCAATGAAAGAGCTCTGAGGGGAAGTGGGACGCTTCCCTGAAGAGTTTTTAAATCTTCGGTTTATTGCTTCCGCTATTCTAGTTGTTTATTTGTGTTCTAACAACGTTGAGCGCACTCGTTACAAAATACCTACGTTTCAAATATAAAATGAACTACGACCCGTCGGAAAAACCGGAACCCGGGACCGGTTAATGAAAACCATTGAACCGTAACCGGACCGCTTTGGGCCCGGTCCGGTTCACGGCCCGTGTACTGTTCATGCCGGTACCTGTGCCGGTTTGGTCCGGGCCGGTACCGGTTCACGGTTCGGGCCACGGGCCGGTTCGGCCCGTGGCCATGTCTAGATTTGTGGCATTATGAGGAATATCATTTTCATTTTTTCATTTTCTTTTAATCTAGTTTGACTTCCTTAGATCATCAACGAAACAAAGGGAACTTGTATATACCGCGTCTCTTCTTTCTGTAAAATACTCCTGACCCTGGTATGGAGATGAAATAAGCCGATGTTGCTATCTAATTCTTCATTTTCGGCTATCAAGGTGGTGTAGTAATGCTTTTACTTTGTGGGACTTCTTTATGGGCTTCACTGATGCAATGAGCTTGTTATTTGCGGCTGCTGTTTGGTGTGCCTCATACGCCTTAGTTGCAGTTCTCGGAGTCTTCCGGGCCTTCGATTTTGTTTTCACCTCCATTTCCAGCTGACTCTAAGAATTAAAGGATTCACAGGAATTTCAACTATCCCGTGGCAATCGGTGAGTTTATCCTCAATTAACGTGCTTGGTTTATTTGTTGCTATCAATAGACATTAGTTTGCTTTTGACCTTACAATGGGGTTTCTGGATATTTATTCAGATATTAGGGAGCTCATTTCTTTGGAGGATGTTATGGAGGAACTTGGATTAGGTTCGAATGGTGGTCTTTTATACTGTACGGAGTATCCTTTGACTTATGCTATGGTCTTCAATTTTCTTCTTGTGCTAGTCCAGTGTTAACATGTTGTGTTACCATTTACAAAGTTACAGCTTTATCTAGCACTGAGATGAACAGTTTGAGATTCATTGTTAACATGTTGTGTTACCATTTACTTACAAAGTTACAGCCTTAACGAGCTCTCAGGCACCTGGAAGATAATTTGGATGATTTGCTTTGGCTGACAGAAGAGTTGAATACTTACTTGGATGATGATTATTTAGTTTTTGACTGTCCAGGTATTCATAAACATTCCTGGTCTATTCCTTCTCTTCATGTATGAAACATCTCAATCTTGCTGAGTTATCATCTCGGACATATATGTGAGATACAACAAATAATTTGGAAACATTTTTACTCCAATTTTCTACAAGTGAATATTGGCACAATATTCGTGGATAGTCTACTGTGCGTTAAATTCTCCTTTTTTTGGGAGAAAAAATAACTTCTGCATTCCTTGTTGTGGGAACGAAGGAGAAATATGAAGAAGGAGCAAACAAGTAAACTATTTTTTTGGATGTATCGACATAGCTTGTAAGCATATATAGATGTACTACTGTGAATTATCTGTGGTTAGATGGCATGATTGTGATACTTGTTCTAAAATATTATCATTGTTTTATTCTGAATTTCAATGTGGCTTTAACTAGCACGCTCCAAACTTATGCCCACTTGAACTAACTGTGGGCGGAACAAATTTTGTAGTAGTTTTTGTCAAATTCATTTTTTCTTTTTTCTTTTTTATCCTTAACTATGTCCGTGATCTTACATTAACAAAAGCCAGTTTTTGCAACTCTATTCGTTCTCAGTTTCCTTGTAGACCATTTTAAATATTCAAGAGACGGTTATATCTTGATGCCTCAAACATCCAGTGATGGAATGCAAAATATCTGCATATGACTAAATGGGGAAAGGTTTAATTCTATTGTGTGTTCTAGTGCTTTGGACCCTAAAAAGAGAAATTTAATGTGCTGTAGTAACTCTGGTTTCTCAAATGAATATCTGACTCGGCACGGAAAGCTTTCTACTTTGATTTGTGTACATATTATTTAACACATTGACTAATTACTATTAACTACTTTACATATCTGTGTTAAATATCCTATTGGTATCACACACCTTCATATTATGTCGTGGACTCAGCATTTGTGTTGTTTCTTTCAGTAGTCAACCTAAATCATTGGCTTATGTGTAATTGCATCATCTTCTCTTCATCTATATTTCTTTTTCCTTCTTTCCCCCCAGCACACCACAATGCAAGCTCCATGCATATCTTTTCTCATTTCATAGAATTCTGTTTTCAAAGTGAAATTTTTTAATGCCGCTAACCTCCAATAACCTGCAGGTCAGATAGAACTCTTCTCCCATATACCCGTGCTTAAGAACTTTGTGGAGCATTTAAGGCGAAAAAAATTCAATGTCTGTGCTGTGTACTTGCTTGATTCACAGGTATCTGCATCTGTAGTTCTGTACATCTAGGGGCAGCATTAATCGTCAATATATTTTATCTCACTATTTTCTGTTTCCCATTTGTATTAGTTTATAACAGATGTGACCAAGTTCATTAGTGGCTGTATGGCGTCACTTTCTGCGATGGTCCAACTGGAGCTACCTCATGTTAATATACTCTCCAAAATGGACCTTGTGACAAACATGAAGGACATTGAGAAGTCAGTGCTTACATAACATTTTTCTGTTTTGTAGGGGTATTGCACTCGTTTATCTTTTGATAGGCTTTTTGTATTACGTGAAGACCAAGCATGAACTTTGGTATATTTAGAGTGAGATGCGCTAATAATTCCTTTTNATTCTTTTTTCCATCTGAGAGAATTGGACTTGTTATGCTTCAAGTAGTATATAGTAAATTAGTAACCGTGGTTTCTTTTCCATTTACTATTTTTTGCTGATATGTTTCCAATTATCTATCACATAAAAAAAAATAATAAAAAAAAACTTTATTCATTCATTTCACTTTATTCCTCTCCAATTTCTCAATACAATTTTTAAATTAAAATTCAATTAGGTATAAAATCTATTATTCACCTACTCACATATTTAAAATTATCAATTATTTTGCTATCTCTACATCACATTATAATTGATTATTATTCTTTTTTATCATGTCATATCATATTAATATAAACCTTAATTTTCACACTATATTTATCAATAATTAAAATATTTCATCAAATACCTCTCGATTTTATTTTCTTTTTCTTTTTTTTTTTTCTTTTTCTCTCTCAAAGTTGGAATTTTTCCAAACCAAATATTATATTCCTCGTGCTACGGAAATGAGTGTATCTGTAGAAAATTATACCCAATAAAACAAAACTGTAACTAATTGAACTAGTACGAATCCTGCACGGGTAAGAGATATTCATTGATACTTATAAATTAAAAATACTTATTAAATATTATTAATAAATTAAAAATATGAAATCAATATGTAATGCACCCCTCCTCTCTATATTAATTTATTTCAAATGTTATATGAAAGATAATTTGTGAAAAATTACATAAAATATATCTATTGAAATTAGTACACAACTCGTGCGGTGCACATAACATGTAATAAATTACAGCATATTCATATCAAAATAACTGTCTATTTATTTTTTTTTTCTTGGATTCTAAATTAAATTTAAGAGGTTTGAATTTTGTGATTGAATGATTTGTGATGTGAAACGTAATATTTTTCAAAATTCATGTAAAGCTGAGATAATATAAATATTCATGCACAAATTCGATTACCAAAGATACAAATAGAGAACATATAATTGTATTTTATCTATCTTAATAATATATATAGAAATAGAATTATAATTTATATTAACCATGACCTAAAATTGCACAATTTTATTATAATAGAACAATTTTATTTGTTTTTCACTTAAAAACTGCAATTATATTTGGATAGATTTTGTTAATAATATATAGCAATGAAGCATATTTAATTTCTCTTATCCACTCTATATATAATTTCAGAACGTGCTAAGTCTAAGTGGCAAGTTTGCACGCTTTAGATGTTGACACGTCAAAATGATGTGCTTCGTAATTTGGTTTGTATAAATACTATTGCTTTCAAATTATGTTTGGTACTTGACATAAATAGTTCATATACTTTGACATATTTTTAATGGCAAATTAGTAATACATTTAATATCCATCTCATATATTTTTTTATTAATAACTAATATTTACCTAAAACATCCTTTATTTGACATTTTTTTATGTCAAATTAGTAATACAATAATACTCATTTAATACTTAATTAATTAAATACAATTACACGATCAAAACATTCCACGTCTCTTAAAAATCAATCACAATATTTCACACCATTATTATTCAAGAATTTGCTTTCTTCCCCATATCTCCCAAACTGCTTTCTTTCATAATATTAACCCAAACAACAAAACTTTGAAATGATATAGAATTGTTGTTTTCTTATTATTAATGTAATTTTAATGATAAAATCGTAATCATATTTAATGACTATTTAATATTTAATTAATTAAATACAATTACACGAACAAAATATTCAGCATATCTTAAAAATCAACCACAATATTTCACACAATTATTCTTCAAGAATTTGCTTTCTTCCCCATATCTCGCAAACTGTTTTCTTCCATATCTCTAAATAATCAACTCAATATTAACCAAACAATAAAGCTTTGAAATGATATAGAATTGTTGTTTTGAAAAAAGTCATTTTTAATGTAATTTTAAAGAGAAAATCGTAATCATATTTCATGACTATTTTAATATTTAATTAACTAAATACAATTATACGTACAAAACATTCCACGTCTCTTAAAAATCAACCATAATATTTCACACCATTATTCTTTAAGAATTTGCTTTCTTTCCTCATATCTCAGAAATTGCTTTCTTCCATGTCTCCGAAAAAATCAACTCAATACTAACCCAAACAACAAGCTTTGAGATATAAAATTGTTGTTTTGAAAAAAGTCTTTATTTTTAATGTAATTTTAATGATATAATCGTAATCATATTTTATGGTTTTAATAGATAAAAGTTCATTAAAAAGAAAATATGATGCAACAAAAACATCATCATAAATATTTATAAAGAATTCAAATATTTTCAACTATTTATTTACATATCTTTTAACAAAACGATAAATCTTGGTAAAACATGACAACTTAATTGAGGGGTAACTTGTTTATATAAATTATTTCAAAGGTACATACTTAACTTTAACTAAGAGAAGATATATAAAATTTTACTGAAATAGTGCACACGTAAAATATATATATATATATATATATATATATATATATATATAATCTAATAAACTAGAAAAGTGGAAGAATTCATTAACTACTTCATTATTTAAGTAAACTAAACTATTGTATTTAGAAGTAGAATTAGAATTTGCACCTTAGTTCCGTTGGATTAAGTTTTGATCCCACAAAAATCGTCATTTATTTGTTTGTTGGTTTGTATTTTCAAATTTTGGTCGTAAAACCAATAAAGTTAACGAATCTTCACCTGACCATTAGGTGATTAATATCAAGTTGCCTAATATTTTAATTATTAACACTTAAAATATATGAAGTTTTTCATTCAATTATTAACAAAAATATATCATGACATTTTAATTATTATTACTTCATTTGAGAAATTGATTTTCAAGATAGGAGCTCTATAAACGATGATAATTAAATTTTTACATAATAAATATTTAATTTATTGATATTATTTAAAGATTTTTAAATGTTTTTATGATTTTCTCAATAAAAATTGAGAGTTTATTTTACCATAAGTATTCTACCAAATGAGATAACTGTTCAATAATATTTATTTACTTTTATAATTTTATAATAACTATAAGTAAAAAATTTAAAATCGATATTCTTTGTCCTCATAACGACCGCACACTATAGAAATATTTTTCTTTTCAAAATAACATATAAACAAAGAACAAATTGTGTAATAGTATGAAAGATAAATTGTTGAATAATTGTTTTGCAACCTAAACATCTATTGTACTCAATTTCTTCACTTAAAATAAGACTAGAATAATATTGTGAAAAATACTAAAACCCAATCCATTTGTTTTTATTTCAAATGGGATACTACTTCAGCAACATGATTTAATTTTGATAATACGATTATCTACAAATTAATTAAGACATATAGAGAATCATGATATGCTTATAAGCTGAAAGTTAAATAATTTTTACCAATATTATATCATATATCACCATTACTCATCTATTGTTAATAGCTATATTTTTAAAAAATTGAAACCGATAATGTTTGTCCTCATAATGCCCATAAAGTATAAAAGCATTATTTTTTTTAGAATAACCTAAGAATAAATTGTGTAATAGTATGAGAGAGTAGTACAATACTCGTGTATTACATGGGTGTTGAATTAGAAAGCTTTTGTAAAAAATATTAATTTTTTTTTTATTTTTTTGAAAACTAAAATAATTAAATTTTATATAATACTTTACTTTGGGTTTTAATTAAATTGTAAAATTATATTTTATTAATCATAATAATTAAAAACCGTACATTAAATGAAAATGTCACCAGTCGTGGTCATCAGGAAGGTCGAGGGCACTTTGGTAGCCGATGGGAGCCTTGGGCATAGCATCCCATATGGCTTCCATGTTGAACTCCTCGAACCCATCCTCGGCCACTTGGACCCCTGCTTGTTGCATTATGGCCCCAAAGCAGTGAGTGCCATAATCTTGCACATCCTTCAAATACTGTGGCGACTGTTTGAAAGCAGCCACCACTTGTTTGCGATAAGCCTGTAGGAAACGTCGACTGGCGGTTGTGTGGAAGACCATCCGCCGAGCCCGAAGGGCAGCCTCATCGATCAAGGGCTTAGCCCTCTGCTCGAAAACAACATTTTCACGTGCCCGAGCTGACTTCTCTTCCTCGAGGGCAGCCTCGAGAGCCCTTTTGGAGGCCATGAGGGCCTCCTTCCCTGTGCGCTCGGTTGCAAGGGCCTCCTCGAAAGATTTCATAGACCCCTCGAGCGTCTCTTTCTCAGCAAAGAGGGCCTTATTTCAGGCGGCTGATCCCTTCAGCCTCTCGTGAAGGGCATTGGCCTTAATGACGGTTTCTTCCAACTGAGTGCCGAGCTGGAGATTGTTGCGCTCGAGGGCCGAGATAGACCGACCAGGGCTCACCAGCGTCTGCTCGATCAACGGCGCAAGCTCGACCATTCCCTGCAAAGGCGCGTAATAAAAAGTGTTAGAGCGATAATACTGGAAGAAAATGGAACGAAGGTAGATAAGCATCAAGAGACGGTAAGTTACCTGAGCCAGCCAATGGGCAAGTCGCTGGCCTCGATCCCGAAGAGTGTTACCGTCATTATAACGGTCAGTGGGACGGTCGACCGGGGGGAGAATATCTCTGAGGTAAAGCGAGAACCCCGGACCGTCAAGCGTAGTGATCGAGAGGGCAGTCTCTTCGACGCGACGACGCTTGGGGATACTCTCATCCCCCTCAGCAAGGGATCGCTTGGGCTGACTCTCCTCGAGATGACTTTTCTCGGGAGAGGTGGGAATATGAATGATAGGAGTAGTCTGGTCGCGAGGAGGTGAGAGCGGCCGAGGGGATACTGGTCTCTCGAGCTGCGTCGTTTGCTCAGGCTCCTCGGGTTGCAGGCCCGTAGGAGGGTTGGTTGAAGAAGGCAGTTTGACGGACCTCTCGGGAGGAGGCGAAGTAGAGCGGTAGACTGGGAGGCGGTCGAGTTAGCTGGTTTGGAGCTCGACC